GATGAGACCGATAGGAAGGCATGGCGCGGTGTACAGCAACCACCAAAGACGCGCCTCGTATTGGGACCTCTCATCATCGGGGTGGTCGCGACGGAGGCGCTCGTTGCGCTTGATAGCCGGGAAGAACGAGAACCACGCGATAAAGTAGCCGATACCGATAGCGATGAAGGTCAGTCCGATAGCGTAGGCGGAGAAGTTCCATTGCTCGTATACGAGTGCGTAAGACTGCAGGAACATGAAGATGATGGCATCGGAGAAACCGGAGAGCAGGGAGAGAACGAGCACGATGGGTTCCGTGACGAACATGCGGAAGGGACGGACCCAGGTAACGAGAATCTCGTGAACACTGAAACGTTCCTTGAACGTCTTGAGCTCGTTGGGTCCCCAGATGTTGTTGGGCTTGCCGTTCTTCTCGCCTTCTGTACGGCGCTTCTTAGCGATCCGGTCCATAAGGACGGTGGTACGGGTTTCGGGAACGAAGATGGCGTGGGCGATTTGGACGGCTCCACCGAAGATCAACTGGATCCAGATATTCCACCTCCAGGCGAGGAATTGTTCGACGAAGCCACCCACGATGGGTCCGAGGACCGAGCCGCCGACGGAGGAGAAGACGATGAACGCGACGGCGTATTGTTGGTTGTCACTAACACTGTTAGTACGAAAATCGAATGAAGGCGCCAAGTACCTACGGTTCCCACATGTCCGCGACCATGGCGAGAGTGACTGAACCACCCGCAGTAGAGAGACCGCCGAGTGCACGGAATCCAAGGATGGTACCGAAGTTGGGCGCAATGCCCACGGGAATTTGCCAGATGTTGACAAAGAAGAGACTGAGCTGGAGGATAGGCCATCGTCCTAGCTCTTCACTCCAGGGAGCCCAGAGCTCACAACCGAACGCGTAGGTGATGAGGAAGATGGCTGCACCCAGACGCGCTGCCTGCTTGCTGACGCTGAACTCTTCAGAGATACCCCCGACGGCGTTGCTGTACAGCGAGGTGTTGAAGTTCATGCTGACCTGCACCATGAAGACGATGCTGAGAATGGTCCATTTCTTCCATGTTGGGAAGCAAAACCCGAGTTCGTCGTAGCAGTCTTCCTCGGTGATTTCGTAGCGATCGTAGGTGCCGTACTTCTCGTAGTGTTCTTTGTCGGCGGCGGTGATCGCGTGATCGGCCGGGTTCTCAGTGTGGTGAAGGTCACCGTCGGAAGCGCTCTTCTTCTCAGCGTCACCAGCTTCGTTCTTGTTGACGGTGTCCATGTCGTGGATTTCGGGCTTACGCTCTGCTGCAGACGCCATGTTGTCGACAGCAATGCGCTTGGGTGGGTTGTTGGTCAAAAGTAGTCAACCCGGGAACCAGTTGCGGGGACTGGGTGGGAGAATCTGGGGTAAGATGATAAAACCCAGACGTCACGCAGGCGGAAGAAGCAACTTATAAGACGCGCAGTGAATCCAGAGGCGCGGGTGCACGCTCCAAAGAGCCCAATGCACACTGTGCGCATCACAAGGCACGCGCTCGAATCCTCGAAACGTCATATTACAGCTTCCACGGCTGACAGGGCTTGAGCGCTATGGCGCGTTGGTGCTAGAGGCCGTTGGACACTGTCCCCGGGACCTCTCAGACCAGGCGATGTAGCATTAAATATGGGTCGAAACTTAAGTGCGCGTCGACCGAAGCGAAGGTAGTATTGGCTTTGGACAGACACGCGGGACGCCTTGCCATCTCCTCACTGTCGGGTGTACACCGAGTAATCGGTAGAAGGTGTGCTACGTCATCCTTGACTGCATTGCAAGTCTTATCTTCGCACGATTCCCACACCACAGATGGTTTCGCAACACTTGATCTTGGCTTTTAAGCCTCCAACACAAGGCCTCCGCCCGCCCTCTAAGCATCGAAAGAAGGCAGACCAAGCTGCGCCGATCGTCCGCGCCAAGCTGCGCCACGCGTCTTAGCCTTGATTATCGAACTTAAGAATGCGACCCGTGACGTCAGCTCGGCTACCGTCTCGAACGCCTGGCGCCTCGCCCCCATGGCACACCGGCTGCCGGTGCACGATTCACTCCTCCGCGGAATCTCCACTATCGATTTCTCGATCCACCTCCGACCTGCCCCCGACCGGCCCCCGACATTTGCACGTGGGGCATGCAAGTCGCTGACTTCTAGACGGTCTGCCACGCGAATTCACGTTATAGTGGCGGTCGGCTTTCCGTTTCCGGATGCTCCGACAGCTCCGAACGGCCCACGCGTGCTTCGAGACGCGTTGTGGGTAGGATGAGGCTCAAAATTTGCATATCGATACGCCTAGTAGCGTACATGCTGAGCGAGAAAATTTTACGGCCCGATGGTTCGAGATGGCAAAGTCGGTGTCCGACTGAGCATCTCAGTGCACGCGCTGGCCCCATCGGAGGTGGAGTAGGGTGATATCCGTAGCCTGTTGAGTAAACACATCACCGGATCGTTCAGCTCTTTACAATTTGCCGATGCACCTGATCTCGAACTCATGGTTGAGTTGGTACCGAAGACACTGTACGGAACCGAACAAACCGAGCCGGCTCTACTGCGACTTGGGCATTTGATAGCATTACTGATCCTGATCAAGCTCACGTCGCGCCCGTGAGGCTCCAAACGATCTAGCTTGCATTGATCACTGCATTTTCCGACTACCGGCATGCGACCCTTTGAAACTACCGAGTCGCGACCGAACTAGTTCCCTACAATGTCATTATACACTCTCCGCCAGGTCGCAAACCCTGTTCACTATCCATTCTAGGTCAGGTCCATCATGCTTGTGAAATTCCTCCAGATCCGGTGATCTGCCGCCGGCTGGTCTGTCGCCCAATCTGGATCGTCTTCCAGTTGTTGAAGATATTCTTGTTCCATTCTTTTTCTCTTTTCCCCGCCTTCTTCGTTCCAATCTTTCAAGATCTTTGTGTAGTCCTCCCTCAATTCCTGTCTCTTCATCATCAAAACATTGTGTCTGTCCTCGAATTCTCCTCGCAGTTCTGTAGGCAGTATATCAAAGAGATCATCCTCAGCTCGAGCGTAGCCATGTGACGTAGTCGCTGCATGTATCGTCCATTCGCCAGCCTTTGTAAATCTCACCGTGCATTCGAGCTTAGGGCATTCGAAAGCATTGCTTTTCCCATTATCGAAGTGGTGTCGGTCCAAGGCTTCTATGACGAGAGGCCAAAACGCGCGTTCTTGAAAGATGATCCTATCCAAGATAAAGCTATCTTTCTCAAACTGCCCGACTATACCGCGAAATAGCCGTCCAGGCACTAGTACTGTGTTGTTACGCGCTGTCGCATCAAGATATTCCCAGCCTCCATCTCCAAGAGGCCGAAAGTATGCATTTCTCCACTGCGGCTTCTCCCTATAGCTGTACAAGTCGGTTTTCCAATTTTCACCTTTCTCTCGCGTCTGCATGATGACTGCCTCAGCGACGATGTCTTTTGGAGAAGCTCGTAACAATACTTCCAGGCATAGTGGCACCTTCTCGACTTCCTCAATGATGTCGCAGAGCATCAAATTCTGATTGAACACTACCCTCTTAGCTGCCGGGCATCTCTTCTTCAATGTAGACCAGAATCCAGCCACAATGTCTTGTTGCACGTCTTCTAGGCGGAATGATGCCTTTGCTTCTCGTTTCGGCCAAAGCCAATAGTGCAGGCAGCTGTACTCAATCTCTACGTTTTGTACGTAGGCAAGGAACGCAAGGTCGACGCAAGTATGACCAGAATAGCCGCCTCTACTAATCCAACAACTGGACATGAGGAAAGAGGCATCGGGATGTCCCCAGAATAGCTTTGATGACTCGATGCGTAGCATGGATGACGTTCGCATGAGCTGCCAAAGGGTTGGTATCGAACAACATGAGAGGATACGGAGCTTAAGTTCGGTGGGAAGCCTTTGGAATGAAGAGAACCCGGTAGGCGATGGTTGCGATGTATTGTTGCCGTCACGATGCCTTACGTACGCAGGGAAGAAGACACGTTTTTCGCCACCCCAGTTCATTCCTAGATCCCAATTGAGTGGCTGCGTCCATGGAGGTCGAGGGAGTAGGTTAAGCAGATTGCCAACACTTGATTGATGCATTGTGGCAGATCTAGGGTGAAGGCTACGAGGCTCGGGGTTCTCTGGTGGTAGCAGCTGCCTGCCTGGAGGCAATGGCGGGGGCCAATGAGAGCTCAGGGGCCTTAGCGCCGACCACCCGCGGGGTTATCGTATGAGCACCCCATGCTAGTCACTGAACTTCAACACTGACCAGACGCACTCATTATACTCGGACTACCTAAGAATCGCCACAACTGATGGTTAATGCGCTAGGTGTCGTTTCTCCAAACGTCTTCATGGAGCACACATTTGGGTAGGTCACCAGGTGTCGCGTCTTCGTACGACTTCGGGTTTGAGGTGAAGGCAGGGCTGCATACAGACGGGCCGTCCAGGTGATGATGAATCAATATTGACTCAGTTTACGAGAGAGATACGCTTGTAGGATGCAGTTTAGCTTCTTTCAGCTTCGCCATAGTAGGCCAAAGGGAAGAAAAGCTGGGTGTCACGAACATCTGATGAGTACCTGGGAGGGCTAGCGGAGGCTTGTCTCAGCATTTCCTAGCCTCAAATGATCACATTGATTTAGTGCCCTATATCATGAGCCTCTACAACAATCACTGATAAGTGAAAGCGAAAGGCCAACATGTGTTATTAACCAGCTTTCTCGCGGCGTCGTTTGCGCGAAAGCACGTGCAATCGACTGACTTCTCATACGTGACACAGAAGTCGGACATAGGCGTCGGCTTCACTAAAGATCGGAATGTTGGCAAACGGGCACTCACTTGCTGCCTCTGGAATTAGCCTGCCTTTACTTACTCTTCCCAACACATAAGCTTGCCCTCCCGCTGCGATCCTTACCTCTTACTTCTTCCTCCACCAACAAGTCAAATCAACTCCTTCGCAATTCGACTCATCACTTCGTCTCCCTACAGTAATCTCTCAACCGCTATGCGTCTCCTCATCCTCTTTCTCACGCTGCTTTCGGTTGCAGCTGGCTTCACTTTGCAAAAGACTGATGGCACCACGATCGAGCTCAGCGATGAGCCTATGGTCATCGACGGCAGCGAAGTGATCATGCCTCAGGAAATGTTCGCGAGCGCGTCCCGCGTCAAGCTCGACGGTATCTCGGAGGTTGCCGACGTCAGCACTGCAGACATTAACCCTTTTCCGGCTGCTGTACGTGCACACCACTACCTCTTACTTATCTTCTCTAACTGCCCTCTAGGTACACCTCTACGAAGGACCTTACAAGCAAGGCAGGCGAGCTAAAGCCTACCTATGCGCTACAGGAATGAATGGTTGCCTCGCAGACGGCGCGTGAGTGCACCGAGTCAGTCCACTTCACCATGACTAACATATTCAAGCTCTGAGCCATGGGCTTCTTCGCTCACTCTACAAAAATGCCCCCACGGCTCACCAGTTGGGAACAAGACATTCGCATGTTTCTTCTTCTCGTAGGTCTTATCGAGCAAGCTCATCTGCGGTACGAGAGTAACGTTAGCTAGCACACCGACCTGCGACTATACTTCTAGGTTTCTTTTGACGCGCACGTCTATCGACGATCTCACAAAGTCGACGCCGAGGTTCGATGTGAGTACCAATGAGTCTGGACGTCGTGAAAGAAGCGTTCCTTTACTGACCATGATGAACAGGAGACGATTAGGTCCATGCAGTGCTTCTTGGATAAGGATGCTCACGTCGCTGGAGTTGATGCTCGTTCTGAGCGCCACTCCGACATCAGAACCGCAGACATCGGCACCGCGGACACCAGCACCGCGGATGTGCACATGGTATGACGCATCACAGTCCTTTTGATCAACTCGCTGATATCCATTTAGCTTTCCCTATTTGAACAACCCGATTACCAAGGTAGCAAAAGTGTCGCCTACAACTGCCACCAGGGCGATAGTGGCTGTAGGGTAATCAGGGAGTAAGCGCACCAGACCCCACCGTGTACATTTGCTGATACATCGTAGGGACAGCCCTTGGGCTTCCTCGGTCGCCTTAAATGGATGCCCACCCCCCTATAACAATCAGGGCAGGGGTTTCACTTGCAAATTATACGAGTAGGTCTCATCAAGCAGGCTCACAAGTGATACAAGGCTGACCCAAGCTAGGAATTCCAAGTGCCAAGGTAACCCGTCGTACTCGACCCGCGAATCTCTTGGAAATCTTGCTACTATCGGATTGGATGTGAGTGCACTAGATATTTAGCCTCTTTTGACAAGGACATCTAAACTAACGGCAATGGACAGAACAAGATCAAGTCTGTCGACTGCTACTTCGACACGCTGCACGGTGAGTAGGTGGCGTATCGAGCTTGGCCTGTCTCGGCCTTAGCCCCCAGGCGTTCTCTCATATGACTGTCAAAACGACACGGGCATGCACTGCAGAGTGCACAAGCACTCGCCACTAGGAAAGATGAAATGAGATTCCTAATGATACATAATTTGTCTTCGGACTCAGACTCTAAACATCGTATTACTCGCAATCAAGGGCCTACACACTGGTAGGTACTGAATCGCGCCGACAAAAGACAGGGATCTTATTGTACCTCGCCTTCACCTTCACCCAGCTTCACGTCGACCTCAATAACCCACATCTGCGTTGATTGTACTGTGATACACATCAATTTATACCCCGGCCCTCACTATTACACCCACCCACTGCTCTTGTGAAGTCGTAATCGCATGCAGCAAAAGGCCCATCGATAGTTACTTTGCCGCGCCATGTCTGTGCGTCTTCTCTCATACCTGCGGCTCCAACACCCATATCAGACCATGCTCATCCTCAATACCGACATCGAGTTTTTTGGAAGCTGTCGATCCGTGCAACGCCAGAAAGTGACATGAAAAGTCCTGGATCAACTCCTTCAAGCCCTCCAGTTCCGCACGACGACCCTTGAACACGTGGAATCGAACCTTGGTCAAATGACCACAGTCGGCCAAGCCATGTAGACGCAGACGCTCGAAGATCTCAGCACCGGTGCTAGGTTTCTTCTCTGTCGGTCCACTTTCCGACCATTTATAAAGATGTGGTGAGACCATGTGGAACACAACTGTCTTTAGCGCGGTGCACACCTTGATCAAAGGTATAGCTTTGCCGAAGTCGTCACAGAAGTCTCCGTAATAGGCAAATTGAACATGTTTCAACCATCGTAGTCCCTCATTGGCTTCTCCGAACTGTGATAGGAAAGCTTCAAGAACTGGTGAGTCGTCACTGTTGTCCATGAAGATTGTTTGGTATCGCAGGTAAAGTCGGGAAGCGATGATGCGCTCGAGCTTGTTGGTGAAACAAATCGCTGGGAAAGAGTCCTGAAGTGCGTTCTTGCCGGGAATGTCGGTGGGAATGTCGGTAGGAACGTAGAGTTTGTTCCTGAGATGGCCGCCAGCGAACATGGCGTGCTTGTATATAAGCTCCTTGACCTCGAGAGGAAGAGCGACGAAATTGAACGGTTTGTTACCGGGAGTAGCTTGGCACACAGCGGCGGAGCTGGTGAGCGACATGTCGGCGACAAGTCCTGTGGTACCGGGTTGTGCAAAGATGTATTGGGGTAGGCCCTGTCCAGCTAGACGCTTTTCGTGAGTAGCTAGACGATGGAGAGGGGTGAGGGCTGCTGAAAAGCTGAACAATAGCGAGAGAAGGTCGCAACAAAATGACGATGACGCGCTGCTTCGTGCACAGACTGTTGGGCGCTAGTCGTGACCCGAAGGTGAAAGAGCGCAACCAGAGACTTGGCTGCAGGCACTGCAGTATGCCATCCAGTAACCGAGAGCTGCAACGATGGCAGTGTTCGAAGACGCGGAGATTCAGACCAATTTGACACTCACCGAGTCGGAGTTGTTGCTGGGTGGTGTGGCCCAGGCTTGAAAGGTGCTGCCCAGAGGGGAGCTGCCCCAGATCACGTGAAGACGCTCTTACTCCCTTAGTCTCTTAGCGTCCGCCATGGTCCCACAGCCATGTCCAGATCTGCGTCAATATGATCGCCTCTCATACAACCTGCCTACTTTGTTGTTGATCCACCAGGAAATGTCCACGCCGTTCCCCGAGCCCTCCTACCCTACACAGGTATTTCACACAGAAGCACAGACTGCCGCACCCAGATATACACAGCCACGCCAGCTTTCTTGAACGTATCCCAGGCTTCGTGATTGATGTCCACGTCAGCCTCAGACAAGAGGGAAAGATCGAGACGCGAGAAGATGCCGTATTTGAGCCGGTGTTGAAGGGTATGTTCGACCGATGTCGGAGAAACTGCGCTGGTACACAGTAGACTAAGCTTTTCCAAACTTGGGGGTAGTTTACCCTCCAGAGTGTCCGAAGATGGTCGAAAGGGCAAAGTAAGCTCTCGTAGGCTGGTAAACATGCTGAAGTCCGATATCAACCCATCAGGATGAACTGGAAACCGACAGTGTAGGAGTTCGCCATGGTCGATGGGTTCTACGGATAGCGTCTCTAGAACTGACTTAGAAACATGTAGACGTTCCAACATCCCAGCAAGAGAAAGAATACCGCCGTATCGGACGGGGCCACCGCCGACACTGCGGACGGTCTGTGCCCGGAAGCGTAAATCGAAGTTTTGTACTTCTAACATATCATCATCAAGTTGATATAGTCGAGGCATAGCCCAATCCGGGCTTTCTCCTTGCAACAAGGAAGCGCACGCAGACAAATGGTGCATGCGTACTAGGGACGGAAACTCAGTATGGGGGAGATCTGCGAGCTCACCAATTTTCAAGGTCCTCAAATTGGGTAAGAGGTGAGTGCTATTGATCAAGAGTCCGCACTTGACATGTAGCTCGCTCAACATCGGGAAACGCACCGGGCCTATGCGCCACGGCGTGGAAGGAAAGAGCCTTTCCGAAAACTTGCGATCTGTCTCATCTGTAGGTAGGTATATCCCTTTATGTAGATTGGTGTAGCATTGAAGCTCCAGTCGCTCTAGATTAGGCAGGATTCGGAGTAATCCGCCGTAGAGAGCTGCAGAGCGCCATCTCACAATATGCGAAAACCAATACCGCTCGGAGTCATGATTGCCCATGACTTTTTTGAGGCGGAAGACGAGCTGCTCATACACGTCCTTGTATCCCAAGCAATGAGGGCTGCCGACAATTCTATCGACCTCAACAAAACGGGCATTGTTAGTCGTATCCCAATCGATGCGTGTAGCTTCGGCCCTCTCTGCTGTCGAACCGAGGCCGAAAGGCATAGTACAGTTCACGATAGCGAGCGATATCGAGTGTATGTTTGTGAGGAGCTGAGGGCGGGCGAACAATGTGCGTAGCAGCATCATTAGCCGATGCCCCTCATCTGGTTGTTCGATCGTCGGTGCGGAGTAGAGATGCTCGCGTGCGACCTTGGCTTGGACTTTGCCGATGCGGGCATAGGAGGCGAGATCTTTGGAGGAGAGATGTGACGCGATCTGGAGCTCGAGCTCAGTAGGAAGGTCGGCAAAGCGAGCCATGCTGAGAGCGTAGGTGCAAGTGCGGTTGCGCGGGAGTAGGATAGCTAGTATGTCGACGTCGAGATCGCAGCGCTCAGAATGGAGACGCGTGAACGGGTATCGCGAGACTGAGCTAATTAGCACGTTAGATCTTCTGCTGGTGTCTGTCGACCGCCATATCACAGCCACGCGCTGTCCGATTAGTTTGCTACACGCATACGCCACCGTAGCGGTCTCTCGGTTGGGCTTTGCATGCTGGGGGCCGCGTGCCTAATTCCATCTCTGCGAGAATTGAAGACAGGCGAAAGGGCTTACGGATGAACTGTATGTATTACGGATCGAAGGCTGTGGCCTTGGATTACTGGCAATACGATAGCCGTCGTCCCAACCCTTACGAGCCTGTAACAGACGAACTTGTCTCGGCTTTGCCCAGGTGGCTTGCACTAACTCACTCGTGCTCGAGGATCGGAGGTTAGTGTACGCGAAAGAAAGGACGCGATCGCAATGTGGATAGTACGAAGTCAAGAGACGTGACGAGAAATGACGTTGAAGTGGAGCGAAGACGCGCGCCGCACACGCGCTGGACCCCTGACGCTTATCTTATCGCGTGTCTGCACGTGTCTATGGCAAATCCAACTCGCGCAGGTCGCAGCTGCTATCCTCCATCTCTCCCATCTCAAACGTGTTCATCAGCATATGAATCCGAAGCTCTCGATATGAAGTCTCTGGGCAACGTCGCGACCGAGCCACCCCTCCTTCCTGTTTGATCCATCGCACCAGCGGCGAAGCGGGGCTGCGGAGCTCCCACCTGCCCCTTGCGGGGTACACTTCATAATGATGTATAGGCTAACGACGACTCTTGAGCCTTTGAGAATATTCTAGGTGTTCTGACGAGTTTCTTGTACCGTAAATTGGATACCAAAGTTCGCATCGCTTCACACACCAACCTCGCATTCAATTCATCGCAAACATGTCCGCCGCTCAAGCGCTCCGCCAAAAGCAGGCCCCGATCAAAGACGGGTACCGCAGCGACCCTTCTTCCGCCGTTGTCACTCTCAAATCCACTGGCTCGCTCGACGACCATTCGATAACATGCAAGCTGTCCGATAGCTCAGCTGTGAAGGAAGCGCATAGGGTAGCCGGTCTGCACCAGAAGGCTGGCGGCGACGACCCAGCGATATCCGGGGAACTATGCTCTGGTGGTACGCAATGTCTCTATCGGAATTATACGTGGTATATATGCTGACTTTATGCGCCGTCAATTAGACATGCTCCTCGATGCCCTCGTAGCCTGCTCAGGGGTCACCCTAAAAGCCGTCGCTACCGCCCTCGGCATACCCATTGCTTCCGGCACCGTTACCGCAGAAGGAGACCTGGACTTCAAAGGCACCCTGGGCGTAGACAGGACGGCACCTGTTGGTATAACAGGCATACGGTTGGATTTCGCGGTGAAGTTTGGAGAGAGGGAAGATGGCAAGGAGGTCAGCGAGGAAGAAATCGAGAAGCTGGGCAAGTTGACCGAGAGGTATTGTGTTGTGCTGCAGACGCTGGTACGTAAGCCTACCATTGCTGTCAAGCTGGCGGGGAGTGGTGGCGGGAAAGAGGGTGATGGTGTTAGTAGGGAGGTGTCACATAAGAGTGAATTGTAGATATGGATTGTAAGTTGTTTTGGGTGACGCTATCTAGCTGAATATAACAGAGTACATTCAGTACCTCGTCATTGCAACTACTTACTTTCCTACATCGCTCCATATCATCCACAAGCCAATGCTTCTCCCCTTCCCATCCCAATCTATCTCATATTGATAGGATGAATCTCGCCATCATAATCATCGTACATCTGATAAGGCGATGGGACAAACCTTTCACTAAGCTTCAAACGATGCCACTCATTGTTGTAGTACTCCTCGAAGTCCTCCGGAGACACCAGGTTCAAACGGCTCTGCAACATCATACTCGGCAGACGGTGGCCGTCCTCACCGTACTTCGGGTCTTGGAGCCTCTCGCCAGTGTAGATGATGAGGCAGAAGAGGTGCGTAGGCAAAAGCGGCTTCCCGTCCTTGCGAGCAATGATCAGAGTGCCGGTCTTAGTCTTCTGGTTAGGCGGGTTGAGCATCGCCGCGTTGTGGTTCTCCCGACGGGACTCGACGTCGCGGTCGCGCCAGGAGAGCGCAGGGGGCTCTTTCCGGATGATCAATGGAATGCCGACTTTATCGGCGACTGGGCAGGGGACCTGAGAATCTTTGCTCAGGATGGAGCGCGGCTCGATCTGGCTCTCATATGTAGGATGGCCGAAGAATAGCTTGTCGCCCACGCAAGTGAGGCGCACGGCAAGGACACCACCCGTCTTCCTCGATATGACCTCCTTCGCTCGCAAGCTATCTTTGTAGTGGTTCTTTCTCAGGGCGTCCACAGCGTGACGGAAGTCTGCCGGTGTGCAGTTGAGATCGGAGGTTTTGCGTCTGTCTTCGGGACAATGGCAGCCCCAGGCAAGGACGTGACCTTTGCCGTGGAGTCGCGCAAGCTCAGGATCGATGTCCATCAAGCTCTTGTCTGTATTGAGTTAGTACATTTCTCGTGCGACTTGTACAAAGATATTGACGAACTGATTGGTATATCCTCCGGCAGAGGCTCTTCGAAAGATTCCAGGTTTCTCGTAAAGAGCAATCCGAGATGCTTTCCAGCGATGTGCCTCTTAGTCGTGTAATCGGTGCTGTCTTCCTCGAAGTATCCTATGGGGTTGTTGCGATTGTTGCAATTTACGCCATAAAACTCGAAGCCCAGCTCTTGCACGTAGGCTTTCTTGGGCGACGGAATCTTGGCGTTGTAGGTGCCAGGCTCGAACAGAGTCCACTCGAAGCGAGGCGCCTCTTCATCTTTCGGGAAGACGATGATGCTGTAGTGCTTTTGACTGGGACGATTGTTCATGTGCTCGCTGAAGGACTTGCAGATGAGCTTGTGGACTTTCCAATCGGCCTTTTGGCACCGCTTGGAGCAGTACTGGATTCCGTTGCAGGCGACACATCTGAGCTTGCCTTCGTCAGGGCATAGCGCGCAGTGGGCAACCATGGTTTCGATAAGTTGTTGTAAAGTTTTTGAGTGCAATTGAGGGGAATTGAAGTGCGAGCTGTGAAGAATTGAGGCGTGGTGCCGCTACAACAAGGGGAGTATGACCAGAAAACGACCTGCCATTTCCTCGGCAACGCGGATGTGGGGCTGACGCGTCAGGCTCCTGAAACGTGGCCCGTTTAAGCTAGTGACCACGCGCATGCACGTGAGAACGCGACATCTCATAATTCGGGCAAACCATCTAATCACTCTGTTGCGCTCTCAAGTTCGGCAAATTTGTATCGAGCTTTGAGACAACACGGAATCGTATTCGCTACACGGACTAAAGAGCTAACCATCAACGAATCTCAAACACCATCGAAGGAATGACCCCTTCAGCACCCTCATTCTGGTGCTGCATTGCCTCACCATCCATCATTCCATGAATGTAACACTCGCCAAGAAGCGTGTAAGAAAAGTAGCCTTCGTCGCCGAGCCTCTCACGCAGATTTTCCCTGACTTTCTTATCGTATTCTTCTATCTCGTCAGCCTCCAACCTCGTTTTGTTTACGGGGCGGCGCCAGCTGGGCCGGATGGCCGCTGGGATGTTAGGCGGCGCATGTGCAGTAAAGGGTCTCGAGCTCGACGACCTTGAACTTGCCTGAGACGTCTCTCCGTTCCCGTAAGGTTCCGCTTCTGTCTTGTGGTCACCGGCATACGCATCAATTTCTCTCTCGGTCTTTCCGTGACCCTCAGTGCTGTCAGGCTCCTCGTTGTCTCCATGATACTGAGAGTATTCATCGTCCTGATCATTTCGATGCTCCTCGTTGTCCCTTGTCGGTGAGTCATTCCTTTCGAGTCCCTTGTTCGCTCTCTGGTAGCCGCCAGTCACACCTCCATTGTGGGTGTGGCGTTCGCTCATCACGCGGTACCGGTGCTGATCCGTCTGGTCATCCATTTTCTTGATATTTCCTTTCTCCACGCGCATTTTGACAGCCTCGTATTCGCCATGCTGCATTTGTTTCCAAAGATGTTCACTGTACTGTAGCGCAAAGTTGATCCGATTGGCCTTCCCTTTTCTGGTCATTTGCAACCAGCGCCTACCGGCAACAAGTGCCAGCTCGAAATCCCACCAATCTACCAATGGTTTCTTCTTCTTGGTGGCTGTGGGGCCTTCTTTAGAAGCGGCAGGGGGAGCACCTTCAGTCGTTGTTGGTGCTTCAGTAATTCTCCCCAGCATGGTTGCAGCACCCAGTGATTGTCTCCGTTTTCGTGATGTCTGTCGGCGCAGGTTTTCGTCCGTCTCCTTTTTGCCTGGCCTGTTCACCTTCCTTCTAGGGTACTCCTTTCTCTCATTCACCTCCTCGTTGATGCGGGTCTCAATTGCGGGCCATACCTTCTTGCGCTCTGCGCATAACCAGGATTTGAAGTCGGTTATGGCTTGCTTCAACGTGTGTAGAAGGATGCTCGCGGTTTTTTGCTTGTCTTTGGATGACATTCTGGAAGGATCGATACCGTGGCTACGCATGTAGTCGGTGGTTCGCAGCCATACTCGACACAGCCTTGCCATCTCTTTGTCTTTCCAAGCTTCATGTCGTCGTTTACGCAAGATGTATTGCCTCAGTTTCTGTACAACAGTATTCTTGACATCGACCAGTTCTTGTTCCATCTCTTCCTTGAATACTTCTTCAGTCTTCTTCGGGCATTCCCGCAGCACAACCGGAACACTGCATCCGTAGAGTATGCAGACCAAATCGCCTTTTTGGACATCTTTCCCGACCAGCCCTAGTGTCCCGCTTTCGGTACGCACAAGAGCACGGTTCCATGTGACGGCCTGCACACGGCGACAGAACTGGGCGACGACAGAATTGCGTTCGTATTCAATGAGCGCGGTAGTGTCGATTGCGCCGCTCTCAAGACCACCTTTTCTGAACGATTCTTGGCAAGCCCGCGAGTAGTATACGGGTGGATTC